TCTCTCTCTCTCTCTCTCTCTCTCTCTCTCTCTCTCTCTCTCTCTCTCTCTCTCTCTCTCTCTCTCTGTGTGTGTGTGTGTGTGTGTGTCTCTGTGTCTCTCTCTCTCTCTGTGTCTCTCTGTCTCATTCTCTGTCTCTCTCTGTCTCTGTCTCTCTCTGTCTCTGTCTCTCTGTCTCTCTCTGTCTGTCTCTCTGTCTGTCTCTCTCTGTCTCTCATTCTCTCTCTCTCTCTGTGTGTGTCTCTGTCTCTCTCTGTCTCTCTCTCTGTGTCTGTCTGTCTGTCTGTCTGTCTGTCTGTCTGTCTGTCTGTCTGTCTGTCTGTCTGTCTCTCTCTCTCTCTCTCTCTCTCTCTTTCTGCTTTCCCTAGGCTGAATTACTCTTTCTCCTCTCCTACCCCTTCTCAAGGCAAGAGATTAAAGGATTCCGTTAGGCATTTCTCTACCAGCTGTAAAATCTGATCATTGTGTCCAAGACCTGCAAATGAGGAATATTTTCAGATGTCACAATCCAACCTTTGTTTTTGATTTTCCTTTTAGGTCTTGTCAATTAATGAGGAGGGACAAAGGAGATGTGAAGAAAATACCAACCTCTTGGGCCGCCCCATCTCGTTAGTATGCATCTCATTATGCAAATACAGACATAGAGATAGAATAACTTTATTGTCACTTTAAATGTATACTAATTGGTGGAAACTATACATACATATATACCAACGTTTAGGATAAGTTAGCAACTTGCTAGATTAAGGAGACTCCATCTGTGTGATAACCTCCTTAAACAAGTTACCTTTTTCATACTTTGGATAAGTGTAAGGAGTTTGGAAGGCTATTTTGAGTGGCCTCCCAACATTTTACATAAGGAATTGGTATGTTGGGCAGATCCTGTGTCTTGAGGGCTAGTGAGTTGAGGAATGCCAGTGTACAGGTTGCAAAAACCGTCTTTTGTTTGTTCCCTCTCAGATCCTGGACCTGTTTAGTTGACCTGGAAGGGCTGAATATGCGTCACCTCTGGCGTCCTGGTGTAAAAACTCTCCTTAGGATTATTGAAGTTGTTGAGGACAACTATCCAGAGACCTTGGGGAGACTGCTGATTGTGCGGGCACCACGGGTGTTCCCTGTTCTCTGGACATTGGTGAGGAAGGATAAAAGGAGGGAAGCCCTGTTTTCCCTTTGGGGTGGTCTTTCAAGAAGGTTTTTAAAAGTAGCACAGAGGAAAATTGTTTTTAATGCTAAGTTCATGCTACTGGATAGTTGCTTGGTCCAAATCTATCTAACAAAATGAAATTCAATGGTGAAAAAAGCAAGGTTCTACATTTAGGCAAGAAAAACCAAATGCACAAGTACAGCATAGGTGGCACCTTGCTCAATAGTAGTAACTGTGAGAGGGACCTCGGAGTCCTAGTGGACAATAACCTAAATATGAGCCACCAGTGTGCTGCAGCTGCCAAAAAGGCCAACACAGTGCTGGGCTGCATTAACAGAGGGATAGAATCAAGATCACGTGAAGTGTTAATACCACTTTACAAGGCCTTGGTAATACTGCATCCAGTTGGAATACTGCATCCAGTTTTGGTCACCGCGATGTAAAAAAGATGTTGAGACTCTAGAAAGAGTACAGAAAAGAGCAACAAAGATGATTAGGGGACTGGAGGCTAAAACATATAAGGAAAGGCTGCTGGAATTGGGTATGTCTAGTTTAATGAAGAGAAGGACGAGGGGGGACGTGATAGCAGTGTTCCAATATCTCAGGGGCTGCCCCAAAGAAGAGGGAGTCAAGCTATTTTCCAAGGCGCCTGAAGGCAGGACAAGAAGCAACAGATGGAAACTCATCAAGGAGAGAAGCAACCTGGAACTAAGGAGAAACTTCCTGATAGTGAGAACAATTAACCAGTGGAACAACCTGCCTCCAGAAGCGGTGAATGCTCCTACACTGGAAGTTTTTAAGAAGACATGGACAGCCGAAATGGTGTTGGATTTCCTGCCTGAGCACGGGGTTGGACTAGATGACCTTCAAGATCCCTTACAACTTTACTACTACTACTACTACTACTACTACTACTACTACTACTAATTACTATTCCACCCTCATTGCGTCATCAGATAACCGCCCGGCCTCCCTCTTCAGGGTGACCCGCTCTCTCCTTCAATTGGGGGAGGGGGGGGATCCCCTGGAGGGGAGGGCCGAGGACTTTGCGCAATATCTGTATGACAAAGTCGCTCGGATCCGAGAAGGCCTGGACTCTGACTGGGTGGCCCCGGGGGAGGANTCTCTCTCTCTCTCTCTCTCTCTCTCTCTGTCTTTCTGTCTCTGTCTCTCTGTCTCTCTCTGTCTCTGTCTCTCTGTGTCTCTCTCTCTGTCTCTCTCTCTCTTTCTGCTTTCCCTAGGCTGAATTACTCTTTCTCCTCTCCTACCCCTTCTCAAGGCAAGAGATTAAAGGATTCCGTTAGGCATTTCTCTACCAGCTGTAAAATCTGATCATTGTGTCCAAGACCTGCAAATGAGGAATATTTTCAGATGTCACAATCCAACCTTTGTTTTTGTTTTTCCTTTCAGGTCTTGTCAATTAATGAGGAGGGACAAAGGAGATGTGAAGAAAATACCAACCTCTTGGGCCGCCCCATCTCGTTAGTATGCATCTCATTATGCAAATACAGACATAGAGATAGAACAACTTTATTGTCACTTTAAATGTATACTAATTGGCAGAAACTATACATACATATATACCAACGTTTAGGATAAGTTAGCAACTTGCTAGATTAAGGTGACTCCATCTGTGTGATAACCTCCTTAAACAAGTTACCTTTTTCATACTTTGGATAAGTGTAAGGAGTTTGGAAGGCTATTTTGAGTGGCCTCCCAACATTTTACATAAGGAATTGGTATGTTGGCCAGATCCTGTGTCTTGAGGGCTAGTGAGTTGAGGAATGCCAGTGTACAGGTTGCAAAAACCGTCTTTTGTTTGTTCCCTTTCAGATCCTGGACCTGTTTAGTTGACCTGGAAGGGCTGAATATGCGTCACCTCTGGCGTCCTGGTGTAAAAACTCTCCTTAGGATTATTGAAGTTGTTGAGGACAACTATCCAGAGACCTTGGGGAGACTGCTGATTGTGCGGGCACCAAGGGTGTTCCCTGTTCTCTGGACATTGGTGAGGAAGGATAAAAGGGGGGAAGCCCTGTTTTCCTTTTGGGGTGGTCTTTCAAGAAGGTTTTTAAAAGTAGCACAGAGGAAAATTGGTTTTAATGCTAAGTTCATGCTACTGGATAGTTGCTTGGTCCAAATCTATCTAACAAAATGAAATTCAATGGTGAAAAAAGCAAGGTTCTACATTTAGGCAAGAAAAACCAAATGCACAAGTACAGCATAGGTGGCACCTTGCTCAATAGTAGTAACTGTGAGAGGGACCTCGGAGTCCTAGTGGACAATCACCTAAATATGAGCCAGCAGTGTGCTGCAGCTGCCAAAAAAAGCCAACACAGTGCTAGGCTGCATTAACAGAGGGATAGAATCAAGATCACTTGAAGTATTAATACCACTTTACAAGGCCTTGGTAAGGCCACACTTGGAATACTGCATCCAGTTTTGGTCACCACGATGTAAAACAGATGTTGAGACTCTAGAAAGAGTACAGAGAAGAGCAACAAAGATGATTAGGGGACTGGAGGCTAAAGCATATAAGGAACGATTGCTGGAATTGGGTATGTCTAGTTTAATGAAGAGAAGGACGAGGGGGGACATGATAGCAGTGATCCAATATCTCAGGGGCTGCCATAAAGAAGAGGGAGTCAAGCTATTTTTCCAAAGTGCCTGAAGGCAGGACAAGAAGCAATGGGTGGAAACTAACCAAAGAGAGAAGCAACCTAGAACTAAGGAGAAACTTCCTGACAGTGAGAACAATTAACCAATGGAACAACCTGCCTCCAGAAGCGGTGAATGCTCCAACGCTGGAAGTTTTTAAGAAGAGACTGGACAGCCATTTGTCCGAAATGGTGTTGGATTTCTTGCCTGAGCACAGAGTTGGACTAAATGACCTTCAAGGTCCCTTCCAACTTTACTACTACTACTACTACTACTACTACTACTACTACTACTACTATTATTATTATTATAATTATATCTGTTTCTAGAACAATTGCAACTCATTTTATGCATAATTTATGTTTTATCTACGGCTCCTCTTTCCGCTGTCAATTTAATCTTAAGGATTTGCACCATAAGGGAGGGAAAAGATCTTTTTATGCCTTCTTTATTTTGTACATGGGAAAAGTGTGGAACACTGCAAAAATATTTCTTTGGAATAAAAAAACAGTTTCTGCGCTTCCAAGTTCGGGGTCAGAGTTAAAATGGCAAACAAAGGGCGAGTTTATTTCGGCTCCTCAGGAAAGTATTTCAGCGAAAGTGTTATGAAGTTTGAATATTTGAGAGAGCAGGTGATAAACAGCAACATTTTCTCCTATCCATTTTAGGTGAGCCCCTTTATCAATGAGAACACCAGGCAGAAGTTCCTCATTTATAGCGGGAACAATTACCAAGGCTCTGGAGGACTTGTAGATTATCTGGAAAAAGACGTAATTCCAGACTTCCTTGGAGGAGAATGTGTGGTACGTTTGGATAATGTCCGTAGCGTATAATCTCTAGTTCTTTGGATTTTAAACATTCTTAGCAATGTTTGATAACATGAGTATGTCACAGTCCTAATATTTAAGACAGGGGTCTTCAAACTTGGCCCTTTTATGACTTGTGGACTTCAACTCCCAGAATTCCTCAGCCAGGCACACGTGCCTGGCTGAAGAATTCTGGGAGTTGAAGTCCACAAGTCATAAAAGGGCCAAGTTTGAAGATAAGATAAGATAGATAAGATAACCTTTATTGTCATTTTTTTACTGAGCACAATGGCACACATCAAAAAAATGAAATTTAGTTGCCCGTTCTCAAAGTGAAACACATACATGACACACACCTAAAACATACTGTATACAATCTATGTATAGACCCACATCCCTACATATACATAACAAATAAATATTAAACACTGTCCATCTTGAATATAAAACGGAAGGAGGAAGCTTGAGAGTTCATAAGGTTAATGCTGTATGGAATGAAACTCTGGCTGAATCTGGATGTTCGGATACCACGGAGCCCCCTCCTCCCAGAAGGTAACAAGGAAAACAAGTTGTGAAGAGGATGTGTGGTGTCCCAGATAATCTTACGGACCCTGCTCAAGCAACGCTTCTGTGCTATGTCCTGGATGGGAGGGAGGGAACTGCCAATGATCTTTTCGGCCAGACCCCTGATTTAGGAGATCCATACCCATATTAAGTAGAGTCAGCTGGGAATTGAGCTTGACTTTCAATAATTGATTTTTGATTATGGGCTGCCAAGCCAGTGTAAACTCTTAGTGAGGTCATAGATATACATTTTACATGATGCAAAGCAACCCACCCACA